AACTCACATTCATAACCAGTAGCAAAATACTCAGTCTAGAAGATATGCAGAAAGAAAAACTTTTACCAAATACAACTATTTGCTTGCATTAACATGAAAAAACTACAAATCTTAAAGCACACCAAGGTAGCCATGAACTATGGTTGGGGGCTACTTTTATTTTTATCTACATAGCCACTCCAATTTCAAAGAAAAAAAAAGGTAATATCTTAAAAAGATATTATCTTTTTAAGATAATGTCTTTGGTGTCGGCATCAGAAACAACTACTGCTCTTTCACCATCTTTCCCCAGATTTTAACCTGCCAAAAAGTTAATAAAGTATCAAATTGCATCCCAATTAAATAAATGTTTCAGTAGTTAATCAATATATATAGATAGATATATATTGTTAACAATAAAGTATCATGAAAAATAGAGAACATGCATGACAATAAAAATATATATAGATAGATATATATTGTTAACAATAAATTATCATGAAAAATAGAGAACTGTGCAAGATTCAAAATACAAGATTCAGGCTATCCAGAGTATTTATAATTGGTATTTTAATATAGAATTCATCAAATTTCTTCATTTCCCACAGAGCCCATCACACATAAGCAGATCAATTAACTCTTTTTATTAAAATTATAAAAATGTGTAATTTTTAAAACTCAATTCTTATTTACATACGTTGCAACCTACTTCTTATGAATTTATGTATCTCACACCAAAACTTGGATTTTTACAAACAGATCATTTTACCTATGTAAGTAGAAGTGGATTTAAGGCTGAAGAAATACATGCCTGTTCATGCTCCTGTTGCCCAAAAAGCCTGAATCCTTGCTTGAAAGAAATCCCCGTTTCCCACTCACGGGTCTGCTCCATGAATCGCTCGTCCCTCTTGATCCAAACTCAGTCTGTCTCGAACCTTCTGAAACACCATTCTGCACTGAAAGCTTATCTGCAGAGAAAGCAGCTCTGCCAGATCCAGATCCAGGCCTGCTATCAGCTGAGGCTCTCTGAACAAAACGCACCTTATCATCCAACTCATGTATCAGATTTTCCAGCTCTTTCTCTCTTTCCTTTATTTTTCCAAGCAGACTATCACATTGTTCAGTAGAATGATCCAAGGAATCACTATTCATGTTACCCTCAGTTTGGCTACAGAGTTCTTTCTTCAAATGATCAATCTCTTCCTTCAGCTTCTTTTCTTCATCAGTTTCAGACCTGTAATGTCCGAAAGAAGTCAAATAATGAGGTAAATTTCTAAATATCATAATTTTATCAGAAAAAATCAGTGAGGTAACACAGGGATATTTTGTTAAAAAAAATATCCGCAAAACCAACTTTGCCAAATAGAAAAGTCTTCATGTTTTTCTGATGACTGACAAAAGTTTTTAACTTTATCAATTTATTCTGCAAAATGACAGACTTTTCTTCATAAAAACGATTATTTGCACGAAAATGATAGACCTGACCATAAATCTAGAAATTATAGGTGAATAGTAACGCAGCAATAGATATTCAACTGAACCATCAAATTGAAACTTTTGCAGGTAATGTAATTGGATAAAGATCAACAAAACTAAACCTGTCAATCCCACGATGCTCCAGTTCCTGATCAATCTTCCTCCAATCCATTCCCTTCTCTTCCAAAAGAACCTCCCGAGGTTTTGCATCCCCAAAAGGATTAACTTTATGCCGAGGCTTCACCACCCCTCCTTCTTCTGAAGCCTTAGAGTCAGAGCTCCCAGGCCTGCTTGACTGCGAACTGGATGATCTACTTGAATAAGAGTTTGCCTTCTTCATTTCAATCTCACTTTCCATCTTTCTCCAATCCAACCCCTTCTCAGCCAACACCTCCTCCCTTGGCCTTGCAGCAGCAAAAGGATTCGACCGGCTACGCGCCGGCGCCGGCGCCGGCTCCGGCTGTGATTCAGAATCTCTCTTTGGAGGATCCAGAACAAGTCTCGGCCTTTCTCTTTCCCCATTCCTCGAAAGAGATGCGTTTCCTCTCCCCAAATGATCTGAATGCATCCCAGATCCAAAGCCTGAGTGCCCAGAAAGAGGAGCAAAAGCTTTCTTTCCTGCAGACCAATCATCCACCTCATCAGCCTTGGATGTGCCCAGGGAGCCCGAGCGAGCTTGCCGGCTTAGATCCATGGGAAACGGCTTCTTAACAGAAGCCCAGTTGTCCACCTCATCAGCCCTCGAGGTCTGATCTCGATCCGAAGCCCTGTGAGGCAAGTCATTCACGCGGCGGGGAGGAGCGTCGCCTCCATAACCATAAGAACGAAAGCCGCCGCGGAATCGGGAATGCTCTATCTCATCTGCCGTGCGTTCACGCGGACCAGTAGGGAGGAGGAGCATCTCTCCGGCAGTGAGGCCCTTCGACTCGCATGTCGGCCCGCGATGAGCACCGCCGGGACCGACATAGGTGCCGGTGGCGAACTCAGAAAGCGTAAAAGAGATGCCTTTCTTCTTCTTCTTGTGCTTGGAAAACTCCCCACTTGCTGCCGCTTCGTTGAGGGTTGGAAAGCTCTCCATTGTCTTCGTATAGGAGTCGGCATCCGTGAGCGCCGGCTCCTCTGCTTCGGCTCTCTCAGTTTCGAGAGCCCAAGCGCCGACCCTGCTCCAGGGTTTCGACATTGTCGCCATTGTTTCCGTTGGATGGAAGCTATGGAGGAAAAAGGCGACAGCTTTTGGTTTAGGGTTGGGAGAGAGTAATCAGTTGTGGTAGAGAGGAAGAGTTAAACGCGCAGAGAAGAGTGGAGGGGAAGTTGAGGGGAGGTTAACGGTGCAGAGGCGTATTTATAGGCGATTTGCGCCTGAAAGCCACGTCGTTACTGTAAAGTGCAGATACCGGACAAATTCGCAAATTGCCACGGATTTGAAAAGTATTATTTCCTAATTTAGACCTGATTCTTTCCAAAAATAAAAATAAATAAATAAAATATTGACAATTAGTCCAAAAAAAAAAATTATGGGGAATACTTCGGATTCGTTATGTCACTAATTATGTATGTTAGCTATATAACTAAATATAAGACTGTTCACAGGTTAATTATGGGTGATATTTTATCATTTTATATGGAAGTATTGGTCTGGAGCCAAATGTTTCTCTATGGTTTATTTGACTTTGCCTAAAAAGCTTTTGACATTGAAGTAGAAATTTTTGTCTTAATATCTCAAAAAGTTTCCAATAAGTAGAGACAAGAGAAGCTATGATAGGCAAATATATTATTAAGAGTGAAATTTCGAAGAGAAAAATTATAAGGTGTGACAAAAATAATACGCTTGTACATAAAAAATATGACGGCATGAATATTAAGGAAATTCAACAGATCGCACTAAAAGGATGACAGAGGATTACAATAGAATAATCGAAAGGCAAAAAAGTTAAGCATCATTTTATTTGGTTGGTTGATGGGCCGGCTGAAGGTTGTATATCATCAACCCCCTTTGCCAAAATTCTTGAATGATGTTCGGCCGCTTTCTAAAACATGTTACAACAGATCGCACTAAAAGGATGACAGAGGATTACATTAGAATAATCAAAAGGCAAAAATGTTAAGCATCGTTTTATTTGGTCGTACGATGGGTCGGCTGAAGGTTGTATATCGTCAACCCCCTTTGCCAAAATTCTCGGATGATGTCTGGTCGCTCTCTAAAACATGTTGGCAACCTTCTATGAAGACCTCTTATCTGAAAGAAAATGTCCATCTGATTAAGATGATGTATCCTCTGCCAAACGGTCTAAGTTCATTCTAAGGACAAGAAGTTTTCTATACAGAGTCCCCTTAAGAAGGTCGGCCAACGACCTTCCAGCTGACCGAAAGACTCTCAGTCGGCTAAGCAATTGAGAGTCAAAAAGACGATTTCTACAACAACAATTTCAGGAATTCCAAAACTGAATAATGAGGCAAACGTCAGAACTGACCCGTGTTGTGCTTGAAGAAAGAGCACAAGCTCTTCCAAAACCAAATCCTCAAGCATCTGAACCCCAAGGTCATTAGACGGCCCAAGGAGTCGAACGAATTGAAGAGTCCCAATATCAAGACAACTTTGAAGAGTCCCAATATCAAGACAACTTTGAAGAGTCCCAATATCAAGACAACTTTGAAGAGTCCCAATATCAAGACAACTTTGAGTCCATGCCAAGGAATAGGCTGCAGGTAGGGCGACTAGATGTCTATCACCAACTGAAGAATGCATGGTCTCGGCAGATCTTTGATGCAGAACTCCTCAAGAAGTTCAAAGTTCCATTTTTGGATCGCTATAATGGCCATATCAATCCGACTAATCACATTGCATCATTTGAGTCAGTTATATGCCTTCTCAAAATTTCCTACACATTGAAGTGTTGTCGATGGTTCTACATCTCACTGAGAGATTCAGCCCTCAGGCGATTCAATGGACTCCCGATCAGAATTATTACTTCCTTATATGAGTTCAAGAAGCCATTCACGACACAGTTCACTAGCACCCAAAAGCCCCAGAAGTATTCAAAAGCTTTATGACACATTAAATAGGGACCAAATGAGAGCCTTCCAGCACATACGCCACACAATTCCAGAAAGAATGCCGCAAGTGTGCAACCTGGAGCGTGTGATAGCAAAGGACGCACTTAACACATTTAAAAAGGTTTTCTTTCCTAATTTAGCACTACTTCTTTCTAATAAATAAATAAATAAAATATCAACAATTACACCAAAATAAAAAAAATGCAGAATACTTCGGGTTCGTTATGTCACTAATTATGTATATATTAGCTATTAACAAAATATAAGACTGTTCACAT